GCCACCTTTCCAAAAACAGATCCTCAGTAGGGACAGTAGATTGTAGTTAATTGAGAAATTTCGTTTCTAGCTTCTGAAAGCCTTAATTGCTCAAGCAGTACCTTGTTTCAATCAAGTGTGTTTTGATCAGGCAGCTACAATCTCAGGAACTGTCACGCTCAGCTTAGTAATTCTCTGGATTCTCTTTTTCCCAACCTGAAACGTAGTGGAAGTGATACAGAGCACTTGTATCAGCCCAGATGTGAGGTGGTTTTGCATCCAGAGCTGTCCTCTGTTAGTTCTAACTGATGATATTTTGCTTTTAAACAAAAAGTCGTGGTTCTGGAGTAACCCCAGGCAAGGGCATCCTGTTGATTTGCAGAAAAGATTTGATAACACTGAAGATGCTGTAAAGGTTTTCCTCTTTTTCCATCCTTTGTGGAGAATGAGGGAACAAAATAACATACGATTCCAAAGGAGTCATTTTGGTTGAAGGGGAAGTAGTGGAACTGTTAGGTTGGCTTGAGAACATCTTTTGGCCAAGTTTTAAATTTGCCTGATACTGCCACCATGTTCTCAAAAGTGACAGTAATGACCCTGCTGTGTATTTTGTTGCTGGGGAGTAGTAGATGTCCCTCCCATAGGCCTAACGTGATTTTGGTTGGCAGTGTGCATGTAGGAAGGTTAAGTACTGAGGAAGGCACTAGGGTGGGGGCAGCAACTGTTGTGTGGCAAGGGTAACTCATCTGTTCTCTCTGCAGCCAGCGCTAGGGAAGAACAATGCACCTTTTCGACTGCCACAGACACACATGCTCTTTGGGAGCCTGAGCAAGGCTGTGAGTAAAGGTGAGCTCAAGTCAGCGATGGGGTTGGAGGAGGGGGTGTGAGACAGTCTATGGTGTTGCTCATATGTGTGATACATGGCTCCCTCTTGCCCTCATCAGGCTTTGCCCAGCCAAGTGGTCACTGGATCCCCTTCATGGAGGCAGCAGTAGCACTTATCTACCAGCTAGCAGAAGGGGCAGAGGAGATTTGTGCTTGCATCCTGCAGGCATGCAGTCAGCAAGCTCTGGAGAAGCTGCAGGAGGCTGATGGACAGAAAGCAGGTGAGGAAAAAGCTACTGGGGGAAATCTGTACCAATAGTTTCTCATGCTGTTGTTGGGTGGCCTGGAAGAGTGGTGGGATGGAGCAGAGTTGAGGGCTTGTGGAGCTGCTGATGTGGGAAGATGAGAACACAGTGAAAGGGGTCTGTGGAGCTTGAGGATGAGATAGAGTCTGTGAGGTTTGGTGGTAACCAATGGGGGAGGAATCCAGGTCAACACTCAACTGTAGCAATTTTTTTCTGCCAGAGCCAGGGGATTCTCCCAGCAGAGTCTCTGATGGTGCTAGCAGTCTCCCTACCTTTCTGCTGATGCACCTGGTGTCCCTTGTGGGGCAGGTGGCACTACAGCAGGTAGTGTATTTGGAAGTGTCTGTAAGCACAGAGCTACGTAGACGTCGCATCCTCAGGGAGGAGCAGAAGACCAAGCAGCATTCTGAAAGCAGCGCAAAGAAACAGAGACCCCGGGTGAGAACTGAGCTTTTTCCTATGGGCAGTTCTTTTCAGGTCCCAGCTACTCCCCAGCAAACTTCCAGGGGACACAGTCTTGAGGATGTGTGAGATCTTGGGTAATGCGTGCTTTGGATATAGAGCTGGGCATTAGCAGGTCAGGATTGACAGGGAGAGCTGAGATCTTTGACTGACCTCTCAACAGTCAGATCTTTGACTGTTCAATAAAACTCTCTGGCTGCTCTTGGGCTTTGAACAGGGAGAGGGCAAGGAATGATAGGTCATGTTCTGACCATGTTTATCTTCCAGCTCCAAGTAGTCATGTCCTTTCTTCCTTCCTTACGGTTGCAATCTTTTGCAGTCGCTGCTGGCAATAAAGAATGCCTCTTCATGCCCCAAGTTGGGCAAAAGGGCTTCTGGAACCTTGATCCGTTGGGCTTGAGGGTCCTAACCTCTCTCAGACATAACGATGGAAGTATTTAACAGTAGCCTCTTAAATGGGGTCTGTATAATAGAAATACTCTGTTTCCTTAGGTCTGCCTCAGAATGGCTTCCAGAGTGCATTGAGCCAGAATTCTTGGGTAACGATAGAGAGGAAGAAAATATCTTCTATCCCTAGGTGTCCAGTCTTTGTTAGATGCCTGCACCGGTGTGTCCAGATACGCTGTGCTTTATTTTCTCATTCACGCTGCTTATCAGTCATTACCATTCCTCACACAGGAGGAGGTTACTCTGAGATTTTTCCAGAAACGGCGATTGGATGCAAATTTGATTGTCTATGCAAGGACCTTGTCTCTTTTCTTCCCTTGTGTTTTGTTTTTTTTTTTTTTTTCTTGCTACAAGGCTTCCCATATTCTTGCTCACAAAACTAGCAGTTCAAAGGCTGCTTTGGTCTTCTTGCTTCTAGGATTTGCATATCCCTTCAGTTGTGTCAGAGTCTGTCCTTGGTGCTAGATAGCTTCGGTAGCTTAGACTTTTTTTTTTTTAATTTGTGTCCTGTGACACATGGACTGGAAATCCTTGATCACCCATCACAGCTTCATTCAAATCTTGGGGAAATGTGAGTTTTAAGACTCCATCGATCTGTTTTTCCAAACTCTAGTCATGCTGCTGTTAATACGTATGCGCTTCCCTCTTGAGAGAAGAGTACATTGGTGGGTGGGTGGGTGTGTTTTTTGTTTGTTTTTTGTTCTGTTTTGGTTTTTTTAAAGATGGGCAACAAAACCCCTTCCTTCACAGTCTTCCTTTCTGCACAGAGCACAGGAAATGAGACCACTATGGAGGAGGAACTGGGCCTCGTGGGAGCTTCAGCTGATGATACCGAGGCTGAACTCATCCGCAGTATTTGTGAGACTGAGCTTCTAGATGGTAAGTGTGGCTGCCACCAAAGAGCACTGCCTCTGCCTGCCATGTGTGAAAGAACAGATATGGTGGCTAATGGGTCCAGAATAAGATAGTTCCCTTCAGCTCAGAGGGGTACTAGTTTTTCCTGCAGTGTCAACTTTGGTAGAGGCTGCCCATTTCACTGTTCTGCCTCTCTGGAGGTGGCTTTTCAGTGGCAGAAGTGAGTTATCCAGTTTGTATAGTCCACAGGAGTTCTGGAACATACGAAGTAATTGTTCTTAAAAAAGGGATGCCTGAACCATGCTCAAATACCTGTTCTCTTCCCCCTCACTGTCTAGGCAAACACCTGTTCTCTGCCTTTGTTCCCCTGGTGCTCAAGATCTGCAACAACCCTGGGCTCTACAGTGATCCAGCGCTCTCAGCTGCTGCAGCCCTGACTCTTGGCAAAGTCTGCATGATCAGGTAGTGCCTAGCCACGACAGCCTTCTCTTCCAGCCTTCCTGGTAGTACACAAAGCACAAGCAAATGTTGCAACTCCTTCACAGTGGAGAGAATAAACACAAAAGAGCACTCTTAGCTTTTGTTTCACTACATCTTCTGAGAGAGAGGATTTTTGTGTCTTTTTCTTTTCTCCACCCTCTGTCCCATCAGCTCTGAGTTCTGTGACTCCCACTTGCGCTTGCTGTTCACCATGATGGAGAAGTCCGCTTTGCCTGGCGTGAGATCCAACCTCATGATTGCAGCAGGCGATCTGGCCATCCGCTTCCCCAATCTGGTGGAGCCTTGGACACCACATCTCTATGCCAGGTAGTGCTGTGCTCATTGCTGGCGCAGGGGACGATGACAACTCTGTGGATGGATGACACTGGGCCTGTGGAAGGTTAGGGTGATCCAGGAGCCCAAATTTGAATATGTTAGCGCAGGGACAAAACAGACCTGGATTGTGGAGCAGGCCATTGTGGGGTATCAGGAGTTTAGGGATGCTCAGTTGCAGACTGTGGTAACTATATGTTTCTGTTAGGCTGCGGGACCCCTGCCAAAGTGTGAGGCAGACAGCTGGACTGGTGATGACTCACCTCATTCTCAAAGACATGGTAAAGGTGAAGGGACAAGTGAGTGAAATGGCAACTCTGCTCATGGACCCAGAGGAGGCGATCGTGGGACTGGCTCAGAACTTTTTCAGTGAACTCTCCAACAAGGCAAGTGGACGTCTGGGGACCTTGGTGCACAGGAGTGGAAAGGGGCTGATGGAGGCTGGTCAATGAGACAAGAGTTGGGAATGCTGGGGAAGGTGTATCAGTGGCTGGAGCAGCTGTCTGTCCCTCCTCTATATTGCCTAAACGAGGGCAAATAAAGGGAATCCTGCAAAACCAGTTTTGTTTTAACCCTAATGTTGCTGAAAGTGACCTCATCCATTCTCATCAGAAGGTAGGCTCCAAATCTGCACTTCATCCCTTTGCTTTTGTGTGTGCATCTGGTACAGGCTTTGGAAGTTTTCTGCACTTTACCTTTAGGCCTTACAGCTGGGTTCCCTGACTTAAAGGCTCAAGTAATGCATCGTCTCTAAGAACTTTCAAAGTTATTCTTGGCTGTGTGACATAAGAAAGTTAAATCTGTGGCAGTTACAGTCCTAGCAGGCAAGAACAATAGCAAGTGTTACCACTTGGCTTCACCAAGCAACCCTGGATAGGTTTGGCTGGCTGTGTATGGCTGATTTCAAGAAGCTGATGATTTCAGTCAGTAGCTTTGGGGTGGGGAGAAGGGAGGTAATTTTAGGTGGGCAGCTTATCTGGCTTGGCTTGAGCTGTCCTTCATAATTCTGTTTCTCATTTGGAACCTTGTGTCCCACGCAGGGCAATGCCATCTATAACCTGCTTCCAGACATCATCAGTCGTCTCTCAGATCCTGACTGCGGTGTGGATGAGGAATCCTTCCGCGCTATTATGAGGTATTTTAGGGGAAGTCTTTTTTGTCCAGGGCTCTGTTTATGCAAAGGAGATACCGGATCTAGGGAACAGAAACTGCAGTGACATATACAAAATGCTTTTCAGTTGTTCTCCTTGATTTTTTTTTCCACAGTCTGCATCTAAAATGAAGGGGATCAATTCTAAAGCCACATAGTTGGGCGTGAGGAGAGACTCCACAAAGAGATTTTCCACCAACTCTTTCAAAAAGATTTTACCTCTGGAAAAGGAAAAGCCTATGGGTTTTAATGTGTGGAACACAGATATGCAACATTATGATAACACAACAGTCTTTAAAGTCCTCTGCCCTCTGTCATTTTTGTAGCGATATTAAAAAGCTGTAGTTGAGGTAACAGGTTTGGGGTTTTTAAAGAAGCTTTATTCTACAGGATAGAGACCTATTACAATAGTTCAGTCTGAGAGCATCTGTTGCTTATAGGCAGTACAAAGAATGCTTACTGAGGTTTCCATGACTTTTCTTCACAAGACTTAACCTGGCTTATACAGAACCTCTTCAGTAGGTGAATTACAAACATTTTCCACTCATTTCTGATCCTTAGCCACATGGGTTTTTTTCTGAGTTGCCTGAATCCCTGTGGGTTGCAGAGGGGAGTGCTGGACAAAACGCAAGCATTTGTGTGGCTGCAGAGTGCAGTAAAACCTCCAGAGATTTTCTGCTGGAGTCTTTCAGTCCATGAGACTCCAGTGCGTTTAGGAATAGAGATGGAATTTTGAAAAGGCAGGAAATGCAAAGCACACAGACAGCCTATTAGTGAGGGTGAAACTGAGACTGAAAATAATTTATGGTTCCAAGACTATATGAATGCTTCTTCAGTAAGGAGCATAATATGAAATGGTGAGGAAAGCAGCATATGGCTATTGACAGTACATGTGTACAGGGAAGTTAGTGTCTGAAGTAGAAGCAAATCTTCACAGTCAAACACGGTGAAGAAGACGACATAAATGAAAAGAACGAGGACATACAGCTGTATGTTTTTAATAATCTCAAACTGGAGGTGTTACCACAGACATTACCACAGCGAATAGTGTTACATTACTTTGAAGGAGGGGTCAGTGTGGTCAAGGCAGCTATAGATTGACTTAACTGACCTCCAGCAACATACACGGAGAGAACTTGCAGGTAGGTACATGGCAAAAAAGAGAAAAAGCAATATTAACTTAAGAAAGAAGGCAGGTATCAAATTAGTCTGAAGCTAATTAATTTTACAGAAGAGACCTGATTATCTGTTAGCACACCATGTCATATGCTTTAGATGGGGAAAAAGGGAATAATAGTTGAAACCCAACTATTTTTCCATGTAGCATGATAGGAAATGCTTGTAGCATGGAGAGGATAGGGTTTAACTTGTAAACAGTGATGGACAAAAGCACAGGCTAGGGAGGAAGCAGTGGCTTATACTCCAGGGATATTTGTCAGGCTGGAGAATAAGGAGGCATAAAAAGGAGAGGGGTAGTGAAAACTACTGATGGACAAAAAGCTGGAGAGTATCATTGTTAAAGGGAAGGACTAATTCATGGAGAATATGAGGATTACAGTAATAAAGTGAGATGAAAACTAGCATAAAAAGTATAAGGATGGGTATTTAGAGATTATTGTTCAACCTCTGCTATAAAGCTGCAGCTAAACAGTTGAGAGAGATGCATTCCGCTTGTTTTAACAGCCACTGGTGTACTTTTGTACTGCAGACATTTATTTTCATATATCACAAAAGACAAGCAGACAGAGAGCTTGGTGGAGAAACTTTGCCAGCGATTCCGGACTGCCAGGTGGGTTTTGATCCTAATTTTTCTGACCGATAAGTCAGTCTGTTTCTCAAGAATTGTTAGAATAAGCCTACTTCTGCACAGTGATGGTGAACAGATTCCTATCATATTTCCCATGTGGTAAGGTGACAGTGTTGAGATATGCTGGATTAGGTCCTTCTTTTTTTTTTTTTTTTTTCCCCTCATCTTCCTCCTAAAAATGCCTGAAGAAATATGTGTAACTTGTTAGGGCTTCTGCTTGTGTTGCACTGATTGGCCCCTCTCCCTCCCCACCTTTCTTAGGGGAAAGCTTTTGTTACAATTTAGAGCTGCATTACAGCTATGCAAGGAGATAGATCGGCTCCAGTGTTTTGGTCCTTTCCACAAACCATTCCTTTGCATCTTAGCTACGAAATGAATGTGTTCAACTGAGGAATTGACTTTTCCCCAACAGCAACCCAGAGGTCCTGTGTGAGGTGATCTCAACCACCTAGCTAAGAGGCCAGTCCCTGTTCTGTGTGCATGGGCTGCTCAGTTGTAACTCTCTGCCTGGGACTTCATTTCCTTATCTGAGTGCCTGAGCCATAGGGCAGTTACACCTTTGCTCCATCTGCAAGGTGTGCATGCCTTGCTCATGGCGCTTATTGTGGGGCACACCATACAGGACCCATCCCTGGCTCTGGGACATCATTTTACTTCCTGGGTTTTTATTGTTATTACAGCTTGGAGAACAGGGGGAAAATAACTTTACTGATGCAGAAATACACTTCTTTTAGGAGGAGGATAATAGAAGCTTATCTGCCTCTCTTGTCATTTGCTTTCACTATCTTCATTTTACCTTCTACTGTGTTTGGTGCACCCTGCTTTCCTCCATTCCTGCGGTTTTCTTTCTCCATTGCTGTGACTTTGCCCTTGAGGTTTAAGCTGTGCCTGCTTATCTTGGCCATTTGTACGCAGTAGCTGGGCCTATGACCTGCTCAGTTGCCTTAGGGAGTTGCATATTCCCCAGAAATGTAGTATTTGGATTTTGTTTCCTGAGTTGGAATGGAGAGTTGCACCATCCCTCCCAAAATGCCTCCTGGGAACACTACTGAGCTCTTCAGACCACAGTTGTAAAGAGCCATCTGAGTGTAAGCCGTGCCTAGACTCTGCTAAAACGTCCTAATAGTTCTGCAGCACAAAATCATCAGTTTAATGCGCAGCTAGAGGTAATGCTGGAGCAAGACTCTCATTCCAGGCTACAGCAGGAGCTTACAGGAAAAGATTTTGTACCCACCATTCCTCCTTTGACGTTTCTGGAGTTCCAGACTTAGCTATGTGCCAAACATCATTCAGATTTTAGGTGTGGAAGCAAGGCCTTGGTGGTGCAGCTTTGTTCTCCATCCATCTGGTTTTGGACAGTGCATTCTGAGAGAGTGTATGTGAGACAGACTTTTGGCCCTCTGCTTTGTTCATCTTGTTAAGAGGGGCTTTGGTCTAGCTTTTCCTCCTCCCATTCTGTCACAGTGAGCTATATTAAAGGGGTTAGTTCCTTTTTTTTTTTTTTTTTAAGTAACTTTTACTGGATTCTGAAACTAGACCTCGCTTTGATAGAGCACTCTGTTAATTTCTTACTTTGTTCCTTAATGAAAGGGCCTACTTTGTACCTCTCACTGGCCAAGAGAGAGGGGACTTGAAATACAGTTTCTATCTGAGAGTATCTCTAACATACAAAAACAAGCAGCCAGCTTTGTGTTTGTTGTTGTTCTTTGGTGGAAATAAGGCCCTTCAAGAAGAGCTCTTACCTGGCTGAGTATATTTACCCTCCTAGCTAGCAATAACTTCTGACACTTTTTAAACAGACTGTGTTCTTGAACAGTGTAGCCCTCATTTTTGTCTGACAAAGACAACTAGGCACCACTAAATCACTCTATTTGATGGAATACAGTGTTCCTTGTTAAGTGGCTGATATAGAACGGCACTCAACTGCAGCATGAGAGGCTAAAGTGTCTCTTGCAGGTGCTTTTCCCCTGCAGAACATGAGATCTAGCTTGCTCTGTTACAGGTCACTTATTATTCTAAGTGTGATGTGTTAATCCTTATGCACCTTCACGTATGATCCAAGGGCATTCTGTCTTTCTCAGAACTGAGCGCCAATATCGGGATCTGTCTCATTGTCTTACCCTGCTTCCCCTCACGGAACGGGGCCTTCACAAGCTGCAAGACAACTTTGACTGCTTTGCAGACAAGCTCCAAGACGCAACTGTCTACAGTTGTTTCCAAGCTGTGCTACTTCGATTCCGTAGAGCAGCCAGCAAAACTGAGTCCAAGGTAAGGATGAGGGAAAGTATCAAAGCCAGGACAGCACAATTGCTTTTACACACAAGGATTGGAAAGCCTTGCAGTTTTCCATATTAAGTATGGCTGCTCCTAGGCCCCAAGAAAGTATCAGGAATTCTGGTGGCTGTGCTATGGATGTAATATTTTCCTCCCAATCCCCTTTTTCTTTGCCACTGTGTTGCATCTCCATCAGGCTCTGGCCGAAGAGCTGGAGCAGAAGCTGCAAGCTTGCCATAGTCGAGGACTGGATTCGGCAGAGACTTGTCAGGAAGGCAATGAAACTCTAATGCCGGAGCCAGCCAAGCGGAGACCAGTGGAAGGTATGTTCCTTTTGTGAGACTGCAATCTTCCTCCCAATCCTGCGATTCAGTAGAGACAGCTAGGGCCTTTTCCTCACCCTTACAGACAGAACAGCTGTTGCCTTTCCTTTTTTTCTTTGCAGGCTCACACCGCCAGCCCCTGAGCACAGCCAACAGGAATGTGGATGAACTTTTTGTCACACCCCCACCTCGGGCACTCCGAAACCATAAGCCTTCCCAAAAGCGCCGTCCACCCAAAAAACCTATTATCACCTTCTCCAGTGACGAGGAGAACAGTTCTGAGGATGGTAAGGCATTGTACGTGTGTTTGAAAGGTGAAATTGGGGAGAGGGAAAGGAAAGCTGGCCTTGGCCCCTCAAGGATTCTCATGGGCTGAGAGCTGCAGTGTAACATACCTCCTCAGGTGCTCCCTGCATGCTCTCCCATGCCCACGTGATCCTTTGGAGTGGGCAGAGGGCATGCAGGGCTTTAGATCACTGCCTGGGCTGCCTGTAGATTCCTCTGTTGAAGGTGCTGGTTATTGACACAATGTTTTGCCCTCTTAGAATTCTCAGCAGAGTTAACAGAGGAAGAAACTCCCACAAAAACAACTCCCATCACCAGATCTTCAGCCCGCCGGGTGCGCTGAGGGAACCATCTGCCGCTGTCTTTAAAAATAAAACTGGTCTTATGCAGCAGTCTTTTGTCTTAACTGACTTATACTCTTGCAGCACTTTAAATGAGGACAAAATGTAAGGCTATACGAAATGTAAGGTTATACTAGGCTAAAAGTATTCCAAAGCTGTCTTTTGGTATCTTTACGAAGAAAATCAGTAATTGATGTGGCTGCCGCTTGCACTGCTTTTATCCTGGAAGGGCTTTGCAGATGCAAGAAAACTGTTTTCATTATGAAGTTTCCTTGGCGGGAAGTTGTTGGGGTGATTTTTTGGGTTGTTTGTTTGTTTGTTTTGCTTTTTTAAGAACAGCCAAACTAAACTGATTTCAAAACGCTCACTTGATCCAACTGTGCCCCATTTTCTTATACAGGTGTAAGCACACCATTCAGCTTCTGTAACACGAGCCAAATACAAAAGGACCCAAAACCAGCAAAAATGTATTCGATCCTTGTTGAGGCTCTTGCCCTGCAGGGCATTGAGGGACAATTACCTGAATCTTCCCCCTAAAGAAGAGTGAGGGGATGCAAAAAAGAAAGACTGACTTAGACTATAACTAGAGTACTTCATTAGAGAACATTAACCGTGAGTGGGAGAAACAATACAAATTAGAAAAGGCTTCAGAATTATCTTTGCCAAACTCTGACTTGGTAACTTTGAGTTGAACAAGTATATTAATAGCATTAACTGTCACACTGCACTTTTGGAATGAGGCTGTTGTGAATCAAGTTACGTTTCAAATAAGACCACCACTTCACCCCTTTCCTTCTAGGGATACTGTACCAGTGCTCAAGCCATTCCTTGTACTGCCATGTGAACACGAAGGGCCCTAGTTCTGAATTTTGACTGGAGCAGCTCTTGGCCATGCCTTGTTTATGCTAATTGGGTAAACAACTTTTACCCCTCTCTCATGGGCAAGTTAGCATTTGTCCCAGGCCTTAGTACTGAATTATGTCAGTGGCCCAAAAAGCAAGACGCTTACCTCAGACAACAATGTCCTTTCCCTTAGTAGCCAGTGACCAGTTGGGCATCCTCTTCTCTCGACAGGTTCCTGCAGATCTTCCCCATTCTTTGTCTCTGAGGATCTGCCCGGTTCCTACAATCATTGTGGTCGTTCTTAGTTCAGCAGCAAGTAGAGAGCCTGCTGCTCAGCTCCTATCTGGCTCCGCTACCAAAGCCCTGAGAAACTTGGACTTCTGTTGCTTATTTTGATCTCTACATGAAAGGAGAGTCAAAAGTTGCATACTTTTGTGTTGGGCTGGGATATAGTTTTTATGCCAGTATCTGAATGGACATAAACATATGAGCAGCTTGTAGAAACAGGCCCATTAAAGCCACCCCTTTACCCCTTAATCAAGCCTGTGGTTGCTTGTTACAGCAAAAAGCCCCTTTCCTGCTAGCTAGACTACCACTATACCTTGGGTCTCCTAGCTACTGCAGCGCTGGTAACCCTGAACACCAATTCACCAGGTGGCAAACTGCCCTCTCCTAGGCTCAGTCTGCAATGGCAAAAGCTGCAGAGCTACATTCTCCTCCACCCTTGTAAACTCCCCTTGCACTGGAGGAACTACAGACATCCTGGTCCCAGGAGAAGAAAGTCTCAAAATGGATGTGAAGTTTAAAAAAAAAAAAGAGAGAGAGAGAGAGAGAGAGATGGACAGTTAGAGCAAGGACTCCTTAAAGGAGCAGTAAGTGAGGCACTGAAAACAGTACAGTTCAGCTTTCTTGTGTGCTACTGCTTTTGCCACCTGAAGGCACCTCCTGGCTGGGCAGCAAGGGAGGCAAACATTCAATGTGTTACACACAGTGCAAAAACAGAACAGAAGGAAGCAGCAGCTGAAAATGTGAAATGCTTTCTTCAATTCTCATGTTCCCACAGGGTGAGTCTGGAAGAACAATGTTTAGGTAGGCATATAATACCTGGACTGCAGTACAGAGGTGGGTAAAAGTGGCTCTCCAGATGATGGAACCATGGGGTGGCAGGGGTATTTATTGGGATGGGATATGTCAACCAAACGCTCTCCCCCAACCCCATGACTCACTGGCAAGATCCACACACACCCCCCACAGCTGCTACTGTGTAATCTAGCCAGACTGCAGTACTCCCCCACGCACAAATCTAGAACGCTCCTCTAAGAGCAAGGCAATTGCATGAAATATAAGGATCAAAAAGCTACAGCACTGCTGTCTGCCCTTCCCGTCCTCCCTGATAAAGATTCAGTGAAGGCTACAAGAGACAGAGGCAGCAGCTATTGCTGCAGCATATTAACAAGAAATATGATACTGACAGTCACGCATACTCTGCGTGATCTTCCCCCACCCCTCCAGCCAGGATATGTCATTCATAATTGGGAATGAAAGAAAAAAGGACAGCATATATGGATTTACAGCCAGGCTCAAGGCATCACAAGCCTGTCAATTAAATCCTGCATATATATGAGATAACCCAATGACGATACCACAGTTAAGAGGATATGGAAGGTGTGGATGGACATAGCAAGGTAGCTATAAAACTGTCTAAGCACTCGCTTGCCTTTGGGTCATGCATTATGCTTTTCCAAGTCAGCGGCTAGATTTCCTTCAGGAACGCCAGAGGGCCGTCCCCAGGACGGGGTGAGGGTTTGGCAGTCCATGATTGGACAGATGTGCTGGCTCACTCACTGCCTCTCCATCTGTCCTTTGCTCTTTGCTGGCCACAGCACTTGCCTGTTCAAGTGTAAGTGCTAGTTCAGTAAGCAGGAGCTCCTGTTGATCCTCTTCTGCAGGTCGTTCAGGTGGAGTGTCCCCTCATGTCACTGAACTACTCCCCTGGCCCTGAAGGAATTAGGGACCTTCTGTATCATGGGCAAAGGAAGGCCTGAAGAAAGAAAATGGGAAAACCAAGACGGGTTTGAGACTGCTGCCTTGAACAGCCCATTGCCCCCCTTCAGACGCCTGCAAGCAGCTCTTTCTGTGGTGACCACGAGTTGCACCAAGACAACTGAAGGGGCCAGCCTGTGCTGTTAAAGGTCTCTCTTCTGAGGGAATGGGATTACTAAGGGCCAAGATCAGTGGAGTCTACCATTTTTCAAAAGTTTGCAAGCCACAGTCTCAACTCCTAACCACCACGGTATGAGGGGAGTGACGTGAATATCATCCTTACTCCTGAAGCCCTTTGCATCACCACAGACCCAGGGGGTGTTCCCAGGGTACTTCACCTAGTTTGTAGTCCTCCCGCTGTCTAGTTGCCCTGCTCCTTTTCTTTTAAGCAACTCTGCTTACAAAAGACTGAAAAGCAGGAGACTACTTTTCTATTGGTCTTTCAAGCTGTAGAATCAGTGCCCCACTATCAGAGGGGGAAGGGTTATTGAAAGGGAAACTTGCTAGAACCAGAGCGGAAAGACAGACAATAACCCATTTGAGACTGAGAAAACTGGGGCAATCATGGACTGAGTGTCCGCCAGAGCCTTTCAACTTCACAGTCACTGCCAGGACATGACAGAGCAACTATTCAGTTGTACTGCAGCCCCAGCAAGGTCCTGCCTTATCATGCTGGGACACAGATCAGCTGCAACTTTGTGACACCTGAGTCAGGGGTACGACTGCAATTCATCAGGCTTTGCTGCAAATTTTCTATAGTCCCCAAATGTTCTTACTTGATATAGTGACTCCTTCCCTGGTGCCAGGCCCAGATTTTGCTGGACCCAAGGAAGGGACCCCTCCCTTGAGCCCACAAAGCCTATCCATCCCTGCAGAGTTCAGCTTGCGTGCAAGCGCACTGGAATTCAGAGCAATTGCAAACACGTTTCTGGCATTCTTCCTGCAGTATTGGGGGCTACCACGTTCAAGGGATGCCAGACTAAACCACGACCACATTTTATATCAAAAACAAAGTGTTGTTGCTTTTTTCTTACCTTTTGCTCAGGACAGAGTTGATTCCTGGAACTGGTGAACTCAACAGGAAATTCATCTGCCTGCAGCTGACTTGTCAGGAGCAGGAACACTATAACAAATGGACTCAGCTGCTTCAGGATAGTAAAACGTGAATAGGAAGTACAGAACAACATCCTCAGAGACATCTCTCACGCGAGATAAACACCTGTCCACATCCCAGCCTCCCTCCTCTCCTTCTCACCCCTCTGAAACTTGTGCAGCTTCTCCCAAAACTGTATCCAGCAGAGGGTGGGGCTGGTTGTGTGCGTGCATCATGCACAGGTCAGGTAGGCTAAAGGGTTTCCAACCTCAAGTGCCAGCAGGGCACACATGCTCTCTCATGTGAATGCCCATGCGGACAGCCCATCCTGTGACTATCCAGCAGTCCCTTCCCTCTGTGGTTTTCAAGGGCCGGCATCAGAGTCATCTCGTCCCCTGTGAAACGTCTCAGTGGTACCCACCCATCAGCAAGGTGCCTAGGTAGCCTCTCCATTTGCTGGCGTGCACTGGATAGCTGCTCCAGCTGAGGGGGCCACAGAGGACTGCCAGATAGGATCACTAGAGAATTGCTTTGGAACAAGCATCTTCTCACTAGAGGTCACAGGAATCGGGCAGAGCCAGCACGCTTGGGGTGCTCCTGCCACTACCCTACCTGTGCAAAATCTCTCCTGTCTGCACTCTAGCTTCAGTGCTCCAGACTGCAGCCCCACGCTCACTTTTCAGGGAGAAGAAATTATGCAAAACAGTGCATGAAACTTTCTGGTTCCTTGGACCACAAATCTGCATCTACAAGTGGAGAATGCTTGGAAGGGAGGGAGGGAGGGAGGGAGGGATGGAAAGCAAGACAGAGCAAGTATCTGAACTGTGACTATTTGTTATCTGCAAAAGACTTCTAATTTTCTTCTTTCCTTAATAAAGTAAGCAAGAAGGGGAGAGCAGAATATTTCCTGACTTTTGCCCAAATTACTTTCTGTGATGAAAGGGAAGTTTAAAATATTATTAAAGTCACCCAGCACATCCACTGCTATTCCTGTACTGCGGTACAGTCCCCCCTTTCTCTCCGCTGACAAACTTTCCTGATTAGTTTCTGTCTTCGCACGCAGGCTGACTTCTGCACCCTGGTCTCCAAACAGTGACCTCATTGCCTTGTTCAGCTGGTGAGAAACTACTGTAAAATGGGAGAGGTAAACAAAGGGGGAGAGCTAATCGACAGAAGATTTAGGAGGTAGGAATCTGCTCCTTGCGGTCCTACTTCCATTGTGTGCCTGCGCTTGAGAAAATGCAACTTCAGCCTCAATGAGCAATATTCTGTGCTGGTTCCTCTGGAAACTCAGCCCAGGCTCTCCAGATGGTGTATGTTGAGTAATGACTCAGGAGAGCCATGGTGCAAGTTATATGCCCACTAGCACTGGATCCACACTCACCTGTCACCACCACAAACCTCACACAGTTAGTGCTGGAATTCACACCCATTGCAGCAAGAACTTTTCATTCCTAGGCCAATCAGCTCACCAAAATATAAACGTTAAAAAGTAGAACAAAAGTGTACTGCCGCATAGCTGAATTTGTGACAGCTCCGTGCAGTCAGCGGGCTGACTATCACTAGCTGAGCTGTAGTTCGTCCTCACGCTGATTAGAGAAGTAACATTAACAGCACTCTGCCTAAGAGGAGGGTGTTTAATATCACCTATATAACCGCAGCCTCCAATATCTCTCTTCAGGACGTGACTCCAGGTCTCACCCTGTTCCTGACCCTGCCAGACACCTCCAGATCCTGGCCAGCAGCAGCTCAACTCACATTTGTCTTCCCAGACACTCAGTAAATACCTTTGTGTCCTTTTTCTTTAGAGGAAGGGGTTTTGCTGAGCTCACCCTGAAATATATCATCATGGACAAAAGGGCTGAAAG